AAGGAAATACACACCTTCGGCTAAGGTGGTCAAACACGAGCAAGGGCGTCGACAGTGAAAGCACGTGTAGTGTTCGATGGCCGTAGTTTTATTGGCAAAATGAAAGTGCACAGAGAGGGGAAGGGTGCTGCTTCTAAACCAAAGAAATAAGCAACGCAAAGAAATAAATAAGAAGGATGGGGCGTCTAATTTTAGGGCCATTTTGGCAGTTTTATGATGATTTTAAGCACCAAAAATGTTTCACATAAAAATGATAGCTAAACTTACGGTAAAAGGCACCAAGTAAAGAAAATACCGACAGTCAATTGACCATCAAAACTTCTGATAGTTTAGTGTTTAATATAAGCGATGGAACCGCCAATTAATAACTACAGTCAAATTGTCAGTAGTTCCAGCAATCAACTGACCGCTTGAAATACCACAAATATTCATCGAATTTCCTACAATAAGTATTTGATAACATTATAAACACTAGTGCATGTGATTAGCCATGTGGCCTTATAGAATTCAAAGGTGAAACAATTAGAACCAGGGACTAGATTATTAGGAGTAAAAAATAATAGTATTTTTTATCTTTTAATCAGTGATAAGGGTTATGATAGAGGGAATCATGTGGTTTGGAATAAATTCTTGAGCTGAACAGTATTGGTAGAAGAGTTAAAGAGCTTTAGAAGTGGAGAATAATGGCTTTAGAGATATCAAATGGATTGTTGTAATATCCCATATGGATGATGATCTCCTTCGTATGATTTTGATTTTTTTCATGTATGAAACTTCCCATATAAAAATTTTAAGTATGCTTCTCCTTGGGAAAGCCATTTGGCTTTGGCTCTATGAATGACTCAAGAAGCCCAAGTTAAATGGGCATTAGAAAGCTTATCACCCAAGGATTGGCCATCATCATTGAGGATATGATTAGAAGGGTTGTTGTTGAATTATTACATGAAAGTATAGTTTTGGCCTCTGAGATCCTTTATAGAATGTTAATGGTTTATGGAAGAGGAGCCCAAACTTTGAGATTTAATATTAGTTTTGAGGGCCTTAATTTTTTGTAAAGAGAGGAAATGGGGTTTTCTTGAACTTGTTGAGAGGAAACATAGATGAGGGTATCTCAAAATTATGGAATCTTGATCCAATAGTTTTTAAAGAGAAATATATGTTTATTCTTTTGTTGAGTTTGAATGTGAGGACTAAAGGTGAATGGTCATAGCACATAAGACCTTTAGTTTTATAGTAAGATAAGGAAAAATTTTGAAGCCAAGCATCACTGACAAGGATTTTATCTAGCTTGATTTGGATGAGATTTTCAATCCTTCAATTAAACTAAGAACAATGGAGACCTACGGAGGCAACTCAGGCAAGGTCCTTGGTGGCAGTGTCAAAGGCTTAATTATTAAATTCCCATAATTTGTTTTTAGGGATAATATTACCCGTATATTTTTCTTGAGGGAACTTATACAATCTAAAGTCTCCCAAAATGATCCAAAGGGAGGGAGATTCTGACATTTTTTTTTATTATTGTAAAAAATAAAAAAAAAGATAATTTAGTGACAGAGTTAAAAGCATAAATAACACTCATTTAAAAGGGGGAATAGAGCCATAGGAAATATGGTCATGAAGTGATAATAGAGATGTTGAAGGTCAAAGAAGAGGCATTCCACTTAATCCAAATCCTATCAGGATTAGAGAATGTAAAATTATTATAAGAGTCTTCACTAGAAAAAAATTTTGTTGGAGGTAGAAAACCAAGTTATTGACAACAAAGAGTCATGAATTTTTTCCTAGAGAATACAAAGAAAATCAAGGTTGAAGGAGTTCACTAAGTCCTTAAATTCGAGGACTTATTTGGGGATATTAAAGCCCTGAATATTCAAAGTGGCTATTATTGGGAATCACATTTAGTTTGGGGATTAGGTTATCGCCTTTCTTGGCATTTTTAGCTTTGGAGCGTCTTGTGGACGAGCTTAGCATTTGGTAAATGTGGGTAGAAACTTTCACTATAATATTATGAAGTTGGTCCTATTGGGATAAGGCTGCAAATTTGTTATGGGAATTAGGTAAGCATGAGATAAAGCATATGTTGTGGATTTTATAATGCCACCAATACCTTCATAGGGGAGTTTAAGTTAGGCATGAGGATGAATTCTGTGGTGATAGTAGAAGAGGAAGGTTGGAATGCAAGTTAAACTTAATGGTTAGGGGGTTATGTGGAAGGTTGGTTGTTATGTAGGTTCATTTTTATTGGTCACAAAGGATTGCAGATTAATGACCTGGGGAGCTTGGAGAGGTTTATATGCAAAGATTATGGTTGTAGAAAGTGTTTGAGTGGTTCGGCTAATGGTGTGGGAACGTCTTGATTTTCTGCTCACACTCAGACCACAAGTGAATTGGTTGGTGGGTTGAGTGGGTTTGATATGGCAGGGGGTTTGGTAGATGAACAAAAGAGTCACATCATATGCATGAGGTTAACTTCCAGTTATATTGAAGTGGGAGAACAAAGATTTTTTTAGAAATATAAATTTCAAATTTAGAAAATTGGGAGTAGCTTTTCACTTGGACACATACACATGCAAATGTGAGTTGAGTTTTATCATTAGTGAGTTTGTTAACAACAGAAGGGCAACCAATTGAGCTAGGTATCTTAAAAATACCCTCGGGGTTCCAACATGAAAGATGAGGACCAGGAATTTTAATTTACAATAGGATAGAGGAAAAATATTCTTTCTAAGGTCAAAAGGGTAGGGGGACCATTTTTCAATTATAAAAGGTTTGAGAAGGAAGAACCATGGACCCCCACTCAAATCATATTATATTATTTTCGTAAAGATATTAACAACAGAAAAAAATCACTAAGATTTAGGAGGGAGAAGTTACCTTTGAGAGCCCACAACTTCTTTATGGCAGAGAGTATGGCTTCATAATATGATATTCTTCTAATGGAGTAGCCGATAAGGGAGAGCCCTCACTCATTAGAGCCTTTTTGGGTCTCTCCTTTGGTAAACTCAATGATGGTGTCTTTTGGTGGAACAAAGTTCAAAGGGAAATTTTTGGAGGCGAAAGAGATTTGAGTAAGGAGTGTTTTCCAATTGAGGCTTAAAGGAGAAGAAGGACTTCTTGGTTTTTTAGGATTTGTGGTGATTTTATTTGGGGGAAAAGAGGAATAAGGGTTGGAAGAGTTGAATAAGGGTGGAAAATCTTAATCGGAGAAGGACCTAGAGGTGAAGGAGTGTAAATCCATCATCTAAAATCTAGGCAATTTTCTATTAATGATTCTTAATTTTAAGTTAATTAGTAACTATTAGCTTAGGAGTTTGAATGGAATGGTTTTGAGGTCAAACAAGTGAAAAACTAGAATTTCTTTATGGGCACCGTGACTTTGAGCTCTATTATTTTTTGACAAAAAAATAGATTTTGAGCATGTGTCATGGAGCAGGGTTTCTAAGGAGTATATTTTGGAGCATCTCAAGGGTTTTCTAGGGGCACTATGACACTAAAAAAGCGAGTGTTATAACGCTAGGTCATAATAGTAGAAATATGATATTAAAATATCTAAAACTATTTGTCATTTCCCATTCCCTTAGCCACCTTGCCAGAGAAGAGAAAAGGAGTAGGGAGAGAAGAAGAAGAAGAAAGTGAAAGAAAAGGGAGGAATTTTATAGGCAAAAGCTTAGGAATTGATCGTTAGGCTAGTTAGAGAAATTATAGTGCTCTAGGTAGACTCCTAAACCCCTATTTCTGATTTTAATTCTAGAAAGTTTATAAAAAGATATGATTTTTTTTTAGTTTTTTGAATTTTTTACCATGTATTTTTAATATTTTATTACATGCAATATTGTGAATGATTTGGCTATATGAAATTAAGTTTTCAATATTTAAATTTTCCTATCTTATTTTTTGAATATTTTACTGAATTGAAGCTTTTCTAGTGTTGACCTCATTCTTGCATAAGGTTCATCAATCAAAACCAAATACGAAACCAAGATCAAATCCAAATTCTCAAACCAAAAAAAAAAGCCAAAAGCCTATGTCTCATAACGCTTTTTGAGTGATTTTTCAATCACCTCAAAACTAAATCAAATGACCTCTGATTCATGATCTGTCAGTTGCATATTAATTAGGCATGTCCCTAAAGTCAAACCTCCAAATTTGAGGCCAATCCAAGGTATATAACCCTAAAAACTAAATTGATTCCCAAAGGCTATAAAACCTTAAAATATTTACAACCCATACCACTAGACTTTGCATCTCATGAAATTTGACCTTGTGACCTTCCCCAAAATCTTTAAATATGTCAAAAATCATTTTTATCGCATGTTAAAACCATAAATGAACTTTTGGTAGACCCTGGTTGACCCAAGTTGGCCATGGGCCCACTTGACCCCAAAACTCTTTAAGGGGAATACTACAACACATCATATGTGATTTAGAGAGTTTGAGGTACATAATTTTTTATATTTTATTTTAATTCATTTTATTATATCCAAGGAGTTTCCAATGACCGTAATAGATAGCATTGGAAGACTTTGTAGTGGTGATCAACTAGATTAAAGGGCATACTAAATAAAAAAATCCTCATATAAATTTTTTTCAAACTTATAAGCTATTTAAATTTATAGAAATTATTTCAAATAACAAAAAAGTAAAATCGGATCTCTAACTATACTTAGCAGAGGCTCAGCCTCACCAACGGCATAAAGCCACAAAAACAGAAAGGAAGAAGTCAACGCGATTTCTTCCAAACCCAAACCCGCAGTCCCAGCCCGCGGTCCGCATCCGTTGCAGCCTGCCCTTTCATCCGCAAAGAGAAAACAGAACACGAGAAACCATTACCAAAAACAGGAAATCAAAATCGCCAAGAAATCAACAAACAGAACAAGAGAGGAGAGCCAAAGCGAGAGAGAGAGCACCATTGATCTATCTCTTCTCTCTCATCTCCCCTTCCTCCTCTCTTCTTCAATATCTCCAAACTACATGATCAGAACAACCCAACAAAGGAAAAAATGGCACCAAGCAAGATACGAAAAGCGCTGGGCGCAGTAAAAGATCAAACGAGCATAGGCCTCGCAAAAGTGAGCAGCAGCACCACGCTGGCGGAGCTCGAGGTTGCCATCGTGAAAGCAACCCGCCACGACGAGTACCCCGCCGAGGAGAAGCATGTGCGGGAGATACTTTCCCTGACATCCTACTCCCGCACCAACATCGCCGCCTGCGTGGCTCTCCTCTCCCGCCGGCTCGGCAAAACCCGGAGCTGGGCGGTGGCGCTCAAGGCCCTTGTGCTCATCCACCGCCTGCTCGCCGACGGTGATCCCGCCTACGAGCGGGAGGTTTTCTTCGGGACGCGGCGCGGCACGCGGATGCTCAATATGGCGGATTTTAGGGACGCGGGATCGAGGTCTGATGCGTGGGATTTTTCGGCCTTTGTGAGGACTTATGCGAGGTACCTTGATGAGAGGTTGGAATACAAGATGTTTGGGAGGAGGTACAGGGGAGGATCGGCGACGTTGTTGTCCGCGACGGTGGGGTGGTCGGGATGGAGGAGGATGGGGAGGGATGAAGAGGGGGAGGAAGGGGAGGGAGCGGTGACTCCGGCGAGATTGACGCCGGTGAGAGAGATGAAGACGGATCGATTGTTGGTGAAGGCGCATCATCTCCAGATGTTGCTAGACAGATTGCTTGCCTGCCGTCCAACGGGTAATTAATGACCAACAAAATACTTCTTCATATTTGAATGTATTGATAAATCAAAAACAGGAATTTCAAATTCCCTGTTTTCAAATAGGATTGAAAATTTTAGAATTTGGCTCTGCTATTACGCGCAGGGGTTGCCAAGGACGACAGGATCGTAGCAATGGCATTGTACCCAATCATCAAAGAGAGCTTCCAAATATACTTGGACATGACGGAGATCACCTCCGCTTTCGTGGACCGCTTCACGGAGCTTCTCGTTACGGACTGCGTCCGCGTTCACGATCTCTTCTCCAAGCTCTCCAAGCAATTCGAGGAGCTCGACTCCTTCCACTCCTGGTCACGCGCCGCCGGCATTGCCCGCCCCTCCGATTACCCTGAAATCGAGCACATCACCGAGAACAACCTTAAAGTTATGGAAGAATTCATCCGAGAACGTTCCTCGCTCCCGAACCGCCAGCTTTCTCAACGCCCTGCCACGCAAGAACAGGATGCCGCTTTTCAAGCCGTCAAGGACGTCAAGTCCATTCAGGCGCCACCGCCTGAGGAGCCGCCGGAGGAGGTGGAGGAGATTGGAAATGAGTTGGCAGAGTTGGCAGCAGCCCCGGAAGCGGCGCCTGCGTCGACTACAGAGGAGGAGAAGCTAGCAGACTTGCTCCATATTCAGGTAAGCGCTGTATGAAACAAAGGAATAGAATGAAGCTTGATTTTTTTAACGGAAAAAAATTATTTAAGACATGATCATATGAACGTGGGCTTTAAAATTTTTTAATTTGCGTTTACAATATCTAAATATTATATTAATCTTAAAATAAATTAAAAATTTACATATATGTTTTGATGTGGTTTAAACACTAAAATATTATTTAAATAAATATAAAGATTCAAGTAATCAATATTTACATACATAAGAATATTATTTATTATGATATGTATGTAAATTATCTTTTTTATTTTTTTTCAAACCCTTAAATAAAAAATCATAAATTCAAATGTTTGATCATAACACGATGAAATCATTCAAAGTTTTAAAAAAGGAAAAAAAAAAGTGTCCTGATATAATTTATATCATAATATAGTTAATAATCATTAAATTTATTTTAGGATGAGTGCAATATAAATTATTTATATATTACAAGAAATTCAATAATCTTAAAGTTATCAAGTACAAATTATATAGGATATATTGACATAATTTTTATTCTTTTTGCAAAGGAAAATTATGAGTTATAAAATTATTGTGCTTATGTAAATTGAAGTTATATTATTTTTTATAAAAAAGTAATTAGGTGTTAATATTATAAACAAATAAGTCTAAAAAATATAATTTAATTATTGTTTATGACCAATTTTACGTTAGATATATATTTTTACACTTTGGTAATTTTAGATTATTAATATTAATTCAAAAACATTATTTTCTTAATTTAAGCATAATTATATTTCTACAAAAGTATAAATATACATAAAATATTTTGTCCAACGGTTATTTATATGATTAATTTATTATTGAACTTTCATTTGACTGACTTGATTAATCAATCAATTAACCCATAACTTAATTAGGAATATTCATTTCTTGGGGGCAAAATTTAGGGATATTTCTTGTAAACATATCAAATATGATTTATTTCAAATCGTATATTTAAATACTAAAAATTATTGCATATACTCTAAATTAATAGACAGAAGGTTTTTTTTTATAAAAAATATTATTTCTAAATAGCAAAACTTCAACTATTTTGGGATTTTCTGATTATTCTGGGTCAACTTTCAAAATAGTCTGATCTTGATTATTTGTATATGATCAATTTAGTCTATAATATTACCGAAATTAATCCTTAGATTATACATAATTGATTCAAAATGATCCATTTACGACTGAATTAAGATCAATTTTATAAAATCATGGAATAATTTGAGATTAATTTTATATCACAATTATAATATGAGGCTATTTTTTATCAATTTTATATAATTAAGGAACTAAATTAAGATAGGACTAAGGCTTCGTTTTGAATAATTTTCTTATTATTTTGTAAAGCAATTTTTCATCACAAAAAAATTTAGTTTAAAATTTTTTTTTACTAAAAAATTATTTTAAAAAATAGCAAGAAAGCAACTCCAAATGAGAAAAATTATTATGCGTCGAGTTCATACTCATACAAAGATATTTTAATTTTCTCTTTCTCTCTCTTATGCACAAGATGTGTATAAAAAAAATAAAAAATAAAACACTACGACTACATACTAGTAGTCATCCACCAATATCCCAGTTTATATTCCCTCTGATCTGCACTTTATCTCCAGGAAGATCCAGCGACCAGCGAACGTAACCCGGACAGCCTCGCTCTCGCCCTGTTCGACGGCATTCCGGCTGAGCCGCCGCCGGCGCAGCCATGGGAGCCGTTCAAGGAAACGGCCGATTGGGAAATGGCACTCGTCGAATCCGCGAGCACCTTCCACGAGCAGAAGCCGGCGTCAGCCAGCGGATTCGACATGCTGATGCTCGAGGGAATGTACAGCCAGGGCACCGCTACGGATGCTAGAGTTGGAGGAAACGCCAGCAGTATGGCTGTGATGGCACCGGCGGCGCAGGGGATGCTGGCATTGCCGGCCCCAGCAAGCGGCGGCGTCAGAGCAAGCGGGTCAGGCGACCCTTTTGAGGCTTCGGCGGCAGTAGCGCCGCCTCCGTGGGTCCAGATGTCGGAGCTGGAGAGGAAGCAGAGGTTGTTTGTGGAGGAGCAGCTGATGTGGCAACAGTATGCTAGGGATGGGATGCAGGGGAAGCTACCGGCGACGGGAGGTGGGGGCTATCCATATAACAGGGGAGGATATACACAAAGGTTTTAATTTCGTAAGATTTTTCTGTGAGTTCATAAAAATTATGCCGAAGATTACTTTGTGATTGATACTGATCGATTATATCAGTATTAGTATGATATATATGTTCAAGGAGAGAAAGGAGAGAGGCGAGGGCGGGGAGTCCACCGGAGCTGATGAGGATCACCAGCCGTTGGATCGGGGAAGTTGGTTTTGCTTGCCTGTATTGTTCTACACGATAAGCTGTGGTAAGCGTTGAAAACAGGAGAAACTGTCACATTAGATTAACCCCTCATTCTCTTATAAAATCTATTTTTATAAATAATAAGGATATTGCAGTCAATGTTCTATGGATATCTGAAATGATTATCTGTTTTTTAAATTATTCTGTTGTTCAGAAATCTTTGTTAATTGGATTGTTGACAGTTCCTGTATCAACCTGCTAAAGTTTGTGGTCTAGCTTATTTTGTAGGGATGAGAATTCTACTCTTAGTAGTTTTGAGTAATGATAATGGTGGTTGCCGGTGGTAGTAGTTAACTAGTGGTCGTCACCAGCAACGATGGTTTGCTGGTTGGAAAATACAATAGAGCTCTTTAGTTTTGCTTATCTTATCTTTCTTCTTTCTCCTCCCTCTTTCAGTGAAGAATAAAGGGTCTGTTGATATTTTTTTTGAAATGGCATGACTGGTAAATAGGAAGAAAATCAAGTGCAAGTCTGAAGAGTTTCAATGGACAACCGATATCAACTCCCTCGATTATGGATCATTTATCGAGTATTTAAGTGCCTTAATGACGACAGAATTCAGTGATCTTGGGCCTGTTGGATTCTTCTAATCTAGCCGCTCGATTCGACTACAATCATGTCATAATTGAATATCATTTGATCATCAAATTATTGCTCTATATAACCTTCATAGGCTTGTGGTCATTTGATTTGGACCGATTTAGGCTTGAATTGGATGAAATTGTTAGGTTTGTTTCATTGAGATGTTCAATTTGACTACAAGCTGCTTAAATCAGAGTTTGAATGGTCTCAATCCTAATTTTTTAAAACCTTCAACTCATATTTGCACCGAAATTCATGACCGATCAAGATAATTGTTTTCATTATATATCACTTTTCATCCTCAATTGATGTTGAACTATCATCCATTTTTTCCTTCAGTTAGCTGTATTTGTTGGCGATCAGCACAATCATTGGATTAATAAAAATATTTGAGATTGGAAGGTTTTGAGTAAGTATTTTCCTTGTCCTGGGCTCTCTGTTTGACAGGAAGCTTCGTCTTAGCCATAGAATGGCTATGAGCATTAATCATGAATGAGATCTCATCTAATGACTTACCAGCATATATGATGAGAACAACATCAAACAGAACATAATATATTGCACTTTATTTTAATATTTCTGGTTTTATTTGTAATTCTCAGTTATCAAAGGACTTTTATGATAATTATTATTTAGAGCTTTATCATTCCTATTATAAATAAAATGAAACTATAAGTCTAGAATATATATAATTTCTTTCCATAATGCAAAAATAGTAAATAAAAGAAGAGATAATTTTAAGAGCATCTACAACTGAACGTCTTTCGCGCATTTGTAATTTCACGAGCCTCTAGTATTACGGCAAATTGAAAATCATTTTTTGCATTTCCTCTCATTTGTAAATAGTGTGTCACGGTATTCAAGACACTATAAAAAATAGGATTTTACACAGCAGTTGTTAAGAGCCAAAATATTGTTTTAGTATCGATTTTGACTGCTATAATTAGCACGGGTTTTAAACGGTGCAATTTGAACCGGCTTTAACGAAGACTAGCCCTTGAACTGAATCCCTAATTCCCAAATTTAATATGCTAGAGCTTGCGGTCTTTCATCTTCCCTCTTCTTTCGTTCATGAGATGACGTTCAAGCCCTAGCTCGTGATCGGAGCGAACCACCGAGATGTTGTCGTAGAAGCTGCTGTCTTAGGAGCACATCAGTCTTTAGGCCCGTCCGCTCACATCTTGCTTGCGCTTCTCCTCACGCGAAAACCCATCCCAGTCGAACCTTTTTCGGTGTGATTCTCTTCCCCTTCTTCCTCCTCTTCTTCTTCTTCTTTGATATATTTATTTTAGTGATTTGCAATTAGTGTTTTCCATTTTCAGGAAAGCTTTGCTGCATTTGCTTTCTACACTATATCATTCTTTAATTGCTTCTCGTGTGGAACTCTAGCAAATGATGATTTTTGCCAATATTTTAATTTATTTAAATTAATATTGTAACTTAGCATTTGAAGAATTAAATTTCTATGATTATGACTACATTGACATTTTTTTCATTGAAGCTATATAGGTTTAAAAGTACTAGAAGGATTATCCAAGCATGCTTCAGTTAACTAAAGAACTTTTTCACATGAATAAAATTTTTGCCATTTCTTAAACTTGAAAAAGATGGTAAATTTTTGGATTTCTTACAAATTTCTTGTACGTTGATTTTAGCTTATCATAGTAGTGGCAATGAAAACTCGTGGTGATCACGAACTGTATGAAACATTGAACCAAAAAGATCATGAATGATCATACAATATAGATTATTAGGGATTCTTGTTTCTCTATGCAATTCTGAAAGATGACTTGATAATCTCCTCATTTGGTTGAACCGCTCTTGATCCTTTCTTGGTTTTTTAGTACCTACTAATGAATTTTTTTTGTGGGTTATTACACAACATATGAGCTTCACAATAGGCTACACATTCATTTTCTATATATGAACATCACTAGAACCTTGGGGATTAACTAATATAATCCTTAGGAGTGTTTAGGTAAAATGACCAAGCATATTCATAACATGAATATTTCATATAGATGTGTTCCAATCAATAGAGTTGAAGTTTATCAACCTTTAGTGTGTTGATAAATGGGAGTTGATGCTATAGTTTGTGTGTTATAAGTAATTTCAATACTAATAACTTATATATATATATATATATATATATATATATATATATAAGGAAATATAATAAGGATGGTAGTAAATTAAATATATTGTAGACTAGCCTAAATTTTAAATGTTCTATAAGTAATATTGTCAACATCAAAATTTGTTGATCTAGAATAGCACAAGAACTTTTTAATTGAACCCCATCTTCATCACCAGCTTAACACTTATTTTTCTAGCCAACCACCACGACCATATCCTATATTGTGTTATTTTATTCTTTAATATAATCAACTTTAAGAATTAACTTGTGATATTTAGTTTGAGATATAATATGATCACAAGTTTATGAAAATGATTGTTGCATAAAAATTTGAGTGACCTAAAGAATCTTTATTCTTAACGGTGACTTGGAAACTCATTTTTCACTTAATATGGATAAGAGTTGTATAACAAAAGTCAAGTAGAGTTCTGATTATGTAACAAGTGTAAACAATTTCATAGAGTTTGCAAGTCGAAGCAAGAATTTATCAAAAAAAAAATTATGTCAGTGCAAGTCATGCATTAATAGACACTTCAATTCTATGAAATATGTGAAAGACCATTTAATTTCCAAAGGATTTTTTGCTGGATAGATTACTATTATGGAGAATTAACAGACTACAAATATGACACCTGGTCGTCTGAAGATGCTAAACAGAGATAAGTAATTTTACTCTAGTTATAAATTTGTATACATAGTTTGTTACTATTTTTTATTTCTTTAACAGAGAAGTTTACTAAATTTATTATAACATAGATACAACCTTGCGAGCTATTGGCTGACACAAAAGGATAGGATTGCCGAGGCTATTGAAAAGGTGTTCAGTAGAGTTATAGGGCCTGAACATCTAGGAAAAGTTAGAACCCATGGGTTTGGTGTCACTTCTGCACGATATTTTCCTCATAGCACGAATAAGAGCAGTAGCGGTGGAAGCAGTTTAAGTCAAATAGTAAATCTAAAAGAGGAGGTTAACTCGTTACATATTGAAATGAGGGAATTCATACAACAGTCTTTACAAGACAATATGAAAGCTTATATAAAGAGATTCTAAAAGAAGCCCTAAATTTTAATTTGGCGCTTCTGATCGTCAAGTATAATCTAAGATCGTCCTGTACTATTAATTCAAAACAGCACTTTCAGCTAGTACGAAAAGCACTAGTCTTGACGATCGATTCAATAAATTATTCTAATCATCCTATATGATTATGCGATCGTCCTGTACGATTAGTTCAATCTCTTAGACTAATCATCCAATACTATAGCTGTCCCATGCAGTGATCAGTTCTTAACGCACATAGTTTGAGGATTGTCTACATGATCAATGAAAATTTATGATTTTTTGTTTGGACGATGGACGGCGTTTAATTATCGTTTAATGCAAGAATTAGTTTGTATAGTACAATCGTCTCTGATCGTCATGTACGATCTGATTGAAAAATTGAACCATAATTAAACACCCAATCACAAGATCAATTTAAGCATGATTGTCATCAATCATAAAGTACAACGAGGATCGTACGGTATGATTAGACACATATTTTGAATATTAAAATATTACCTAAATTATGATGGACGGTTGTTTTGCTAATTATATAAAATCGTCCTGTACGATCTAGATCGTACAATATGATGAGTTTAACCACTGTTAATATAATGAGGTGTCCTAATTAAAGTTTTCTATTTTGACTAATCGTCCAGTACGATACCAATCGTACTGTACGATTAATTCAAAAAATAAAATTTTTCTAACTCACCAACCGACTCCCTTGAGTGTGTGTGTGTGTGTGTGCAAGATTAGTATTCACCATATACATGATTTGACTCAAAAAAGGCAAAATTACATTGAAATTGCAATTACAAACAGACTCAATTCTAATATACTCGATTTTGAGCTAGCTGATAGAAGTTGCAAGTGAATGGTAGACCTGAAATATTAGTGAGTAGAACAAAACAGATATGCAGTAAATTGAAATAGCATAGTAAAAAATTTAATAATATTTGTTATTATCAAAATCACAGAACTTGGGTCCAAATTTCTAAGAGGTTGAAGGTATATATTTTAGTGTTAGAAATAGAATTGTCAGTTGGAGATGCCATAAGTCGGGATCGTGCCTACACTTTTAAGAAAAAAATAATAACACTATCAAAATTAAAATTAAAATTTCAAAAACATACCTATATAATATAATATTTAAATATAAAAAAAGGCTGAGTAAAATTGTAGCAATGTTTTTTCAGTCGTTGCTTTCCTCAATTCAGAGTTCAACATCAGCAAAATCACCAAAGGAGACTATACAATCAAACAAAAAAAATTATCAAAATATTATCTCAAAATAAATTTAAATTGTTATATTTATTTTAAAATTAATATTATACTTTAAAATTTTTATTTCAATAATCATTGAATAAATAAATTTTAAACTCATCATAATATAAATCATATTAAGATATTATGATAGTTTTATCAAAATCTTAACTATCAACATGGTGATAATTAAATATTATTACCAACTCGATAATTAAAAAGACATACTTTAATTGCATATTAACAAGTAACATTTGCATGAATTTATTTATGTAGATCAACAAATGTTTAAGAGCTTCGAATTAAATCTCTTAATTAAAAAGGAGCTGTGCTGATGTCCCGAAATCCTTCAAGCACGCCGAAGCTCCTTTGTTTGCCGATGAGATCGGATAAATCTGTATCGTCCAAGTTCTGCCTGCCTTCAGTAACGTTGAGCACCGGCTGCAAACCCTAATCATGAAATTAAACTTTTAATTAAGATTATATTGAATAACCATAATGCAATTATGAGTTTTAATTATCATTTTGTAGAACACAACATAAAAAATTATATATTTTAATACACATCTAATTATAATTTATCTTTCTGGATGTTCATTAATTATATATGAATGTTAGCGAGCTACTGCCGAAATTTGAAAAAAATCTTAGTTTCAATCAGATTTCTTAACCTTATCTAAACCACAAAGCACAAGTGTTTGTTTTTGCTCTCTTAAGTTCGGTTTGGAACAGTTTTCATACTGCTTTCAAAAACGATTTTTTAGTACAAATTTTTTCCTAGAATTTTTTGTATTGAAAAGTATCCAAAAAAACTGTCCCAAACGAATCTTAGTTTCTACGAAAGATCTTTTCTGATAAGATTTCTTACAGCCCAAAACAAATCAACAACAACGAGAGGAAGAATAACTTTCAAGCATGAAATCAAAAGCTAAAAACTCACCTCAGTAAAAATACTTAGAGCCTCCTCCATTGTCTTGTTGCTGAGCACATCTAAAGCTGCTTCCTGTCATAAAAAAACCAAATTAATTCAGCAATAGATATAATTATAGAAGTAATCAATGAATAAAAAACAAGGGGAAGAAGATTAATCAGAAAAACAAACCCTCGCGTACTGTATCTGACACAAAGAAAGAGTTCGGGGCTCTTTCTCTAAGGAGAATTTCCTCTCTATTTCCAGCTGATCTGTACCCATTTCAATCACTGCAAATTCTCCCAGCATAAAAAAAGAGACGATTGGGAGGGAACAGAGACGGAGGCTTCAGAGTAATAATAACAATAAGCAAATCCTTCAGCTTAAAACATCTGCATGGAACAGAAGAAAAAGAAGAATGAAATTCTTTTAACGGCCGGTGGCGTGAACTATATAAATGGCGGGGTCGGTGAAATAGAAGGAGCTTTTGGGACAAGTGTAGCCGAAAAGAAAGGACCTTCGTACACGTGGCGAGAAAATGTGTTAATAGATGACACGTGGCACGACGCGGTCGGAGCTCATCGAAAATATCTGCTGTAATAATTCTTTTTTACACAGGGAAAAGGTGGGAGAGACAGAGAAGGCCGGGCTGGGCCACGTTGCATAAGAAGAGATCGTCTCACGTGCTCCGCATAGGCGGCCTGGGTACTGTGGGTTGGACGTGCTGGGTATCAAAGCAGGTTCACGGATCGGTTGATCGGATTTGGAGCAAATCCATTTAATAAACAGGTTAAAAATTAAAAAATCGTATACTTCTGCAGTAGTGCAGTCAGGGAAAAACTTATAAGTAGCTGTTGGTGATGCCTCAAATTTATCTCCACTCTTCACTACAAGAAAATAGGTCAATAGCGATAAAAAATTAGAGACAAAAAAAATGGTCGCCAAAGATATTTTTTTAGCTATAAAAAGTGACTATGGCCTCACACTGTTAGAGTATACGTACACGTCAGCAAGTCAAATGCTGACTTGTCTCCTCCGTACGGTCCAATCAAGATCTTTCCTTCTTGATATCTGTCTAGCTCCCATCTATGTCTTTAAATACTCATGTAATGTAATCAGTGTACATGTACAATTAGGATGTCAATTTCGGGTCACGGGTCGGGTTCGGGTTGAACCCGAAACTGACCCGGCACTATTCGGGTCAACCCGAACCCGACCCGTTTTTAAAAACGGGTCGGGTTCGGGTTGACCCGAAAAGTGCCGGGCCAGTTTC